TTCCTTCCTTCCTTCCTTCCTTCCTTCCTTCCTTCCTTCCTTCCTTCCTTCCTTCCAAATCAAACGATTTTAGTAAAAGGTAAGCTGGGCTTTATACAATTGCAGAACTCAAACTGCTGAGGACAGACTGAAAGCGCATTTCCCTAAAAAAAACCAAACAGCTCCACGGTCGTTTATAACCAAATCCTCTGTGTTTTTGTGTAGTTATGTTCAGTATGTCACTAATACACACAGCCTCAGTTCCCTCCTACGCTGTCACTGAACTAATCCAGTTTTTAACTCTTTTTCTCACACACTCACTCCTACACAGAGAATCACACACTCCTCTCTGAAGCTATGTGAAACACATTCACACACTCAGATTTGAACCTGTTGCCTTAATGATGAGAGTCAACTGTTACACTGCATCCTGCTTTTTAACCATAGCATTATGAGCGATTTTAAAACGGCGCTCATCTAGTTTTATGTTTTTTTCTGTAAAGCGACTTTCGCTTCAGCTCTCATTTTTCTATGGCAGTAAATAAATAAACATGAACTGTTTTTTTTATAACCTCTAAAAATAATTTTGCTAAAACATGAGAAAAATACAGTTGATTATCACTGTGGTAGCTCATTCTTTTTTTATGTCGTTTTTCTCTGTCCAGATGATGGGAAAGACGGACGGCGACAACTATACACTGGATGACATGTTTGTGTCGAGTGCAGCACAGCGGGAGGGCGAGGGCAGGGAGGAGGAGAGGATGAGGAGCAGAGCTGTTGGAGAGAGCAGGAGGCTGGCTGCCTCCATGGATAAATGCCCTCACTGTTTCAGCAGCCAGGATCTGAAGAAGCATCTCATCATAGCTATAGGGAGCAAGGTAGGACATGCTTCAGCTTTTTTAGTACAGAGGAAGGTTTATTAACTGCTTATTAAGCTGCGATACAAACATATTTGTGGCCCTTAGGTTTGAGTTCCTGCATTTTATTATAGTAACCTTTTAGTTGATGTCAGTCAGTGGATTTGTTGGTAGAGGATTGTCACGCAAATAGAAAAAAAGCTGCTCGCCAATTAATTTGTTCTGCAGGATAGCAGAGTGATTTTTGCTGATGCAAACATAGATCTTGAATCTTGTCAGATCTTAGTTTATAAACACCAGAGAACCACCCAAGGGACCTATGTCAGTTCCGAGGAGCTGCTTAGGGCTCAACTCCGGTTGGATAATCTCTTCTTTGGGGATGATGCAACAAAAAAAGGCATGTAGAGGACAGACCAAACATTTGGAAATATGAGAACAAGTGGGAACTTTTTGGCTTTTAATCACAACTTTATTTGTGTCAGACTAACCCTGCAAATTTAGTGTGAACACAACAGACCTAGAATGAAACATGGGGATGGCAGCATCATGCTGTGGAGATACTAATATTTAACAGGGATAGGAAAGCTGTTTAGAGTCTATGGGAAAATGGATGGAGCTAAACACAGAGTAGAGGATTGACTCTGAGCATACTGCCACAAATGCAGGGCATAAGGGTGAGTTACAAAGGCCCACCTGAAAATAAATCATTTTTAAACTTTTGCTTTAAAAAATCTAATATTTATTATAATTAGGGATCTGGCATTGTCATGACTTTTCCTCTCCTAGGTTTAAATTCTCTATTATAAAAATATCTGACCATCTGTGCGCCTTAAGAGCTGTTAGATTCAAGTTTCAGTTTATACCACAATTAACATAACAGTTTATAAAGCTGTATATGAATAAAACATAAGAGGAAAACAGAGAAAAGTACATTGCAGTGACAAAGGATGATGAAAATAATATAATTAAACTCCTAATTAAAGGGGGAGAGAGCAGCTGTCCATCATAAAGCTGCTGATGTCTGTTCTCCCTTGGTGAGGTCACAGCCCCGGCTAAGCCAATAGAAAAAAAACGGATGCAGTAATCCCATTTTAATCCAAGGAAGGTACCAGATTTAGACAGATTGGCAGGATTTCAACAAATGTGCCTTAAATTGTCAAAACAATGCCTTGGAAATGCAGACGGCTTTATAACACATTTGTTTTTTACAGCTAACCAACAAAAACAGTTGATTTATGGGTAAACAGTCCTTAAAAAACATTCTAGCTTGTTACCAAATAAATGTCTTTAATTAGATATAAGGCTTAAAGCTGTATATTTATCCCTTGGTTTCAGTGTGTTTGTGTCATTTTCCTGTGTTTGCCTTTTTTTATGCAGGCATACCTGAGCCTGCCTGCAGGAGTGTCACTGACTGAAGGCCACTGTCTCATCTGTCCTCTTCAACATCACTCTTCTGCTACTGGATTAGATGAGGACGTGTGGTCAGAAATACAGGTTATGCGTCTATGACTACCAGAGTCTATGACTACCCAAAGTTTCTTTCACTGCATGATCCTAAAGATCTAAGTCTGTCTTTCTGCAGCTGTTCCGGCGTACGTTGGTGCGAATGTTTGAGTCCCAGGAGCTTGACTGTGTGTTTATGGAAACATACATGAACCCTCGCAGAAAACAACACATGGTCCTAGAGTGCATCCCTCTGCCAAGGGAGCTGGGTGACATGGCACCCATTTACTTCAAGGTTTGTGTAAACCTCATCATTTTTAATTCATTTGGGCAAATCTTTGCTTTTCGAATGGTTTATAGGTATAATATTTTTTCTTCTTCTTTTTCAGAAAGCCATTCTGGAGTGTGATGAAGAGTGGGCCATGAACAAGAGGCTTGTTGACCTCTCTTCAAAAGACATCCGGAGAGCTGTACATATTTTTCCTTCTTGTATCCTGTCCTCTTTCTTCTTTTCAATCTACTTTTCTGATAACTTCTGACCATGTTTTTTAGCTTGATCTTTTTTTTTATTTGTCCTGCTAGGTCCCTCGGGGTTTGCCGTACTTTGCTGTAGATTTCGGATTGCAGGGAGGATTTGCCCATGTGATTGAAAATGAACAGAAGTTTCCTCATTACTTTGGCAAGGTTGGTTGTTGTATTATACCGTTAAAAATCATTTTAATAATTGTTGTCATTATTCGGCTCAGAATGCACACATGGTACAGAGACAATTTCTAAAAGCACTTGTTGAAAATATAAAACACTTAGAATATTAAAATATGTATGTAGAAGTACAGAATGTATTGTTTTCAGGTATAGTCAAACTGTAGAAATCAGCTTCAAATTATTGCATTATGGCGTGCCATTGAGCTACCTGCAGCTGGAGGGGCGGCTTTGCACCGGAGCAGCAGAGCTTTCCATTTTATGGGGTAGAAACAGTATAATCTGAGACGGTCTGGTTGACAGTTGGTGATTCTCCTGAACGTCCCTATGGTGTGTAAGCATTATGTGGACAAGGGCAATATGGCAGTGAATGCCGCAGGGCGTAACTTTAACCTTATTCTCTCTGGGAGCAGGTTTTAAATGTAGTCGATCTGTTGGCTGCTTCTCCTTAAAAGGACGTCTAACTAACAAAGAAGTTTATTGTATTTAAATAAAACCTAGCTTTGTGTGGATGCAGAGGTGAGTCCAGTCTGCACAGTGTATTCAGTTCTGCAGATTGGTCTCACCCGGTTCAGTAGCTGGGCAGAACAAATGCATGACATAGAGATGACTTGATGGCTCCATATGTCCCACCTCTGCCTTGATATGGCCTAAAACTGACCGGACCAATTACAGAGTGGGAGGCAGGGGTTTACGCTTGTGCCTTAACATAATCCAGAAGTCCTTTTTAGTGACCATAACAATAAAGATTGATGCCAAGTTCTTGAATTTGAACCTTTGTATATTGCCCCATTTATCCCTCTAAAACCGATCTGTGCCGAGTTCGGACTGAGCTTGGATCAGTTAACCGTGCCGAGCTTGGTTCTTACAACCATTTACACATCACGCTAGCACAGTTCCTCGACTCTTATTGGCGGTCCATGATACTACAGCTCTCAAGGTGGGAATTGAGCAAACCAAAACGGTTGCGCCCATAACATTAATGAACTTATGTGCCTGGATAGCGTCCTCTGCCAAAACTTCAATGAGGGCGTCGACATCATCCCAGGTTGCACCACGCTCTTTTGATGCCATTTAATGTTAATAGGCTGTGAAGAAGTTAGTGTTGTGAACAAGTGAAGAGATCTGTGAAGTGCAAAGCCGGACACTGCGGAAAACCCATGAAATGAGTCAACTGACTTTAAATAGGAGATGACGTGGCCTGCTCATTTGCTCTTTATCAGAGAAAAGAGCCACAACTGAACCGTGCCGAGCTCTATTGATGAACTAGTACAAGATTTAATATGGTTTGGTTGTGTCCGGGTCAGTTGAATTCCAGTTATCTCGGTTACCATGCTCGGGCCGTTCTCAGCACAGTTTCAAAAGTATAGCATAACTGGGGATTAAGAATAGATTTCTCTGATTCCATATTTCTGGGATTTGGATTAGTTTGTCTTCAGATTTGCATTATATGAATAAAACACATTGAATTGAGTTGCATTAAAAGTCATGAGCAAGAAGTGAAAGGATTTACCCCTCTCTCCATCACAGGAAGTCGTTGGGGGCATGATGGACTTGGAGCCACGGCGCTGGAGAAAGCCCATTAGAGAGAACTTTGATGATCAGAGGAAAAAAGTTCTTCAGTTTGCACAGTGGTGGAAACCGTACGACTGTACAAAGGCTGAGGGCTAACTAAACCACTCCTAAATAGTTTTACCCAGATGTTAGGAATTTACTGCATAATTAAAGATTGTGTCATTTTTCTTTTAATAAAAATACATCAAATGGCTTTGATTGTTGGGTTTCATTAGTCTGAGATATAAACTAAAGCTGGTCTCTTCATATCATAAACCTTTATTACAATCTGCTGTTATCGACTCTCCATCTGATGAGTTTAATATCTTGCCTTCTGACCGTATGGCACTCTACATCTGTCACTTCATTTTTTGAGCTTTAAGTGTCATCCCTGAAACTTGTACAAGAGAATAGACAATTATTTTTCTCTCTCCTCACACCTTTTATCCCAAGCAATCTGAAATACTGACCTTACGTTCAACCTCATCTTTATTTCAATTTCAGCAAAGCTATTGGGTTTTTGATCATTTCACTTTTCCAGAAGCTCATCTTGTTTTTGGCTTAAATCTTGACACCATTTGACATAGGGACGTGGCTGTCTGCCGGTTAGTCGTGTTAATAATATCCACATAGACCCAGATGCATTTTAATATTGTCATATTTGTTCATGAAGGGCCTGTTTCTATTCGCCTATATTTGGCATTTAAAACTAATGTAAACCTCCCAAGATAAATCTGTCCTCTTTTAAGTGACAAAAGTAAAAGGATTTTTAGCATAGCAGTAATCGTTCATGGCTCCTTTTGCCTGAATCTCTTCATTGACACAACATGGTGTAATCTGCATGTCTGGGATATCAAATCATAGGGTTTCTTCAGCGTTTAGGTTAGGGGACTTTGCTGGTCATCCAGGTGCCAAATCTTACCACATCTCAATAAAAGGTATTTCATATGGAGAGTTATGACACGCTCTAAAATCCACTTATAGATAACTAAACTCTGGACCAACGTAAGAGCAGAAGGTCTCACTGTACTGCTCCATCCTTCAAGGCCTGCCCAAAGTCAAAGGAAATCAGCTGTGCTGAAGCAAGGAAACCTCTAAAACCCGGAGGACAGTGGCCTTTGAGAGCTGACCTTAGTCAGGCCTCCAGACTCTTTGGTACCATGACTTCAAATTTACATGAACAACCTGCTTATAAACTGACCAGGACCTGATCAGGAAGCTCCATTTAAAAAAATAAACTAAAATCAGTTATATTCTGAATCCACCAGCCCACACTAGAAAAAAAATGTTCACAAACAGACCTAAGATTAACTAATAAAATAGGCAAATGTATCTTGAACTTAAACAATTTTTTGTAACCCACCTCACTACCTCATTGACATAATTATGTAGCCTCTCAATCATATGTGTCCTTAATACTTGAATGCCCTTAAAATAAAATAACATCCTTTAGATAGCAATCGTAGCTTGACACCAATTTCTTGTTTTGATCTACAGATCCTAGCTGGGTTTCTCACAGACAAAGACCTTCACTTCATTGTTATTCTTAGGATGTCTTCTTCAATCCTACCAGAGATTTGCTATGGGATTTAAGTAAAGGATTGTTATGGCCATTCCAGAACCTTCCAGCCCTTTATTTGCAACCAAGATCTTTTAGATTCTGAGGTATGTTTGGGATCTTTGTCCTGTTTAACGGTCCAATGTCTCCCAAGCTTCCTCCTCGTCACTGACTGCATGACTTTTACACCAAATGGGCGTCATACAACAGTGTCGTATTTTTGTCGTACATTTCTCTTACTTTGTCTCCTACCATGAGCTTTTCCAAAAGCGCCACATTAGATCTAACAAAGGTTCTTAGCTTCAGTAAATGATCCTCAGAAACGTGATGCAGCCAACCTGTGTGTAAGTGATTGCGTGTTCTCGAGAAATGCACCTCTGCAATATTAACGCCCCCAGTAATGCAACATGAGGCTCCATATGATTGGGAGGGCTACGACTTTCCACACTTGTTGTACGAACGATTCTTGCATGAGGCTCAATGTCTCCTGGTACATAATTTAATTAACAATACTTTGTACACTGGCTTCTCTTCACACAGGACGACTGACCCCTTCCATGCTTTAAGTATTCTTTTTGCGTAAGACCTGTTTCTCTTCCAGAAGATGTTTTGTTAATCTTTAGGCACAATGAGTTTCAATTTGGTCTTGTCGATCCAGTGAACTGTATCCCAAAGCCTTTGTGGTTTATCTACATGGTTTCTGGCATATTGGAGTCGACTAGTCCTGTGCTTTGGAGTCCTCCCTCTGATAAGTTCTGCCATTGTTCTTCAGATGTCACATGCAGATTTTTTTCCACCTCTCGCCTCAGGGACTGGACAGCACTCGCCAATAGCATCCTCTCTCTGTCTAGGTAGTGTTTCCACTGTGTCTCTATCTCTATAATCCTGCAAATTATGCTTCCAGTGGTGTCTCTAGAAATGCGTCATGCCTTTGCCATCTCTTCATATCCATATCAGTGCTTATGAAGAGAAATTACCTCCTATGTTGACTTGAACCACGCCCTGGATTTCACCATGTTGCAAAGACACAATTGATCTAGAAAGAACAAACGAGTACCACAGTCCTTTTAATTTGCTTAATCCATGGTCATCATGGTTCTACAACTCTTAAGGTGTCTCCATTTTGGAGTAAGTAAACACAAGCACGGCAGCAGTTTGTATAAACTTGTCTTTATTTAATGGCTGACAGTGCAGAGTCCAGCTGCCTCCCCAAATCCCATGAAGCCCCTTCAAACTCTCAAATGGGCTTTTGCTTTGAAAGGCTGTAAGCGCTACAGTTACCTCAGATGCCTGTACACCTTTTTTTTTTTGTTATCGCATTTTTTCTTCCATTTAGCTTTCTATTAATATAGTCTGATGGACCATGAATGGCACTCCCTCTTTAGCAGTGATCTTTAATGGATTTATGACGGTCCACGTAGGGGTGCCACTAACTGCATTATTGTTAGTTTTAATAATGGATTTTTCATTAAAACTAGATTTCATTGTCTCATATAGGTACAAATACTGTAAACGCTTGAAATCCATCACTGTAACCAATATGCAAACTTTTTGCTTTCTTAAATCATTCCAGGTCCACTAAAATTTAACTTTCAATGAAAATCTCGTTCATAGACATGCACTTAGATTTATTCTGCGCTACTCCTCATGTTATGTACATTCCTATCAACTCTGTAAGAGCTATTTTTGTTGTTGCTCTGTTTGTTTTGTTTCACTGTTGTCAGTCCGTGTTTTCAAAGGCCAAAACCCTTCAAGCAAATGTCTTTTCAGAAAGGTTGCCATTTGCAGGAAAACAAAAAAAAACATTTTGCTTTCTGTTCCACTCTAACCCTGCTTGTGCTTCAGACACTATCCTGCGGAGCGGCAATGTCGGTTATTTATATGACACAAGTACCGGAGAGGACGCAGGTTCATGGTTAATAGCAACAGAAAGGCGTGAAGTGATGTATGGTGATGGCCAATTAGATTGGCTGAAGGTGGATTTATGGCCGAGCCAGCTTTTTGTCTTTCTCTCTCTCTCTCTCACACACACACGTCCTTTACTGTTGACCCTGGTATTAAGCTGAAAGGCCAACGTGTACTTTGTGCTTTAACCCTTAATATCAGCAGTTTATGCTAGTTTGAAGTCTTTCTCCCTCGACTGTTAGATTCTGCTAAAAAAGACATCAACGGGAATGCCAATATCACATTTGTCGTATAGATAATGAGATATAGAGTGATTCCAAAAAGATCCTTGAAATAATGTCATATTGTTTTACTTTTTTTTTAAATTCAACCTTTAATTGGAATGTTAACTCCATTTGATTAAGATAACAGAAATGGTTCAACAGACATAGATTCACTTTTTTTTGTTTCAGAAATGTATTTTTCATGTCTGTGTGTATGTCTATGTTATTTATAGTTTTATCTTCATCTGTATTCATCTAAGAGACAAACCATAGTTTTTTCTTCATTTTTTGTGCAGAGTCTCTGCTTCAATAAGTATCTTAAAACATGCCATAAATCCAAGTGCAGTGCACACTGTTAATTTCCTGCTCTCAATATTTATGAGCCGGATTACAGCATTACTGTAATAAACTTAGGTCAACGTTTCATATTCATTTACAAGCCTTGTGCCAAGTAAACATTTGTTGCTTCAATCTGTTAGCCTTTTAATATGTATAACAAAAAATTAAAAACAACTTTTATACCGAACAACAAAAGTGAAAAATTATCTAAACAATATGTTGTTTTTTTAGCTTTCGTTCTAACCAATGTATGTAAACTCCTCTATCAGGGGCACGCTAAATTAATTTATATTTTTTATATAGATATTACATATAGTGATGGAAATTATGTTGTGCAATTGAGAATGTTTGCCATTTCTTTAAAAAATCTCATGACAAATTAGCATTCTAATCTCTGTTTTACAGTTAAAATATAAAATATACTCCAAATACACAATAAAAAATGTTATTTTGCTCATTATTTTACCATTCAAAGGAAGCATGAGGTGTTTAGAAGTGACTACTAACAAACCTACTGTTGGTTTTGCAAAACTTTACTCTAAGGATTTCTTTTCATGAAAATGAAATGAAATGCTTGAAATATCTTTCAAGCACATGATATTTTACACTAAAATTATGAATTTCTGTTCAATTTGTCAGTAAAAGTCAGAGGTGTCAAAAGTATGAATGTTTATTTGTCAAGTAGAAGTATTAATACTACTGTTTAAACACTTTTGTAAAAAAAAAAAAAATACCTGTTTTAAAACTACTTACATTATGATAGTAAAAGTAATGCATCAAAACATTTTAAGGACATATGCTTTACTGTACTACCCTAATAAAATAAAAATGTTCTACAATTCTGGATGATAATTTAACTTTCTTAGTTTTATAACTAATGGTAAAACTGTCAAATTTAACTTGAAAAAATATTTATTTTGGTTTGTAGCAAATAAGTTGGTGCAGCACCGAGTCCAACCACAAAGAAATACATTTTCTGGATGAAACATTATTTTGATGCCTTTTAATATTTCTTAAATACCAACAGGCTATCACTAAAATGAGCTTAACAGAACTAGAAATACTATTTTCAAAATGTAAGGGGTAGAAAGTAGAAATATTTTTTTTTATGTAAGGAGTAGAAGTAAATAGTTGTCTAAATAATAACTCCAGTAAAGTATAGATTGTCAAAATTTCTACTTAGATAAAGTAGCAAAGTATTTCTACTAGTGACAGCTGAATTAAATGTAATTTCTGCTTTATGAGGGACTGAGAGTCCAAAACCTGACCGAGGGAAAAAAGACATATCTGGAAAAACACTCCATAGAAAATTATATTGTTTATGATATCAAAAAAAAGTATCCATCATAAACTATTTATTGGTTTCTTTGTGTTAAGTAAGTGCAGCATTGATAAGAAAGGAAAAAAAAAATGACAAGCGGTTTTTGTTTTTCATATTTTTACATGGAACACAAAGGCTTTGATAGTTGGAGAATCGCCCCTATGCAGTATGTCATTTTAGACATTTTAACAGGGAATAAGTATAACGTTTTTTTTTTTATTTGCTCCCAGCAAGGTTTGGATAACATTTTAATCATGTTTAAAAAGAATGTTATCTTTAATTTTTGTTGTTAACTTCTATTCCATAAATGCACAGGTCCTGTTAAAATGAGCAAATATCCTCATGACCAGATTTGTTGAAGGAAATAAACATTCTTTATGGTGTCTTCATTTCAATATTTGTTCACCCTTTAATGGTTTAACACAGTCGGATCGGTTTGTAGCTGTAACATAAAATGTGATTTTATTTTGTCTAAATTATTTGCTCTATTTTTTCTGTAGGCTACAATTGTATTTAAATATATACATGGATCTTTTTTTCCCAATTTTGAGTCTCAATGACAGTTCTATCTAATTTATGCCACTGGGACGCGGAGTTGTATCACATCAGTCTGGGTTTCCAAGATAAAGTTATTAAAATTTGATGTCAGCTATGATATATGTATCCACTGAATGAAATTGCCACAATACACGGAGAACTGCCCTTTATATGCTGCTGCCCTGTCAGCACTCAGCTGTACACGGCTGGCAGCCAGCTAGAGACGGCCCCTTGTGCCTGAGGGCTTATCTTCTCTGGAACATTATTTATTCCATTGTAGTGTTGGCTTTATTAAATGCCTGCATTATTACCGGTGGACCGCAGACTGATTGCTGAGAGCAAGCAACTAGATAAGGGAAGAGAGGCAGAGTTAGCACAGAGTGTGTGTGAAGGAAAGAGTGTGTGGGCGTTTGTTAAATAAAGTGAATGTCTGCGCATTGGATTGGGGTCGAGTTGCTCCAGAGAGCCACATTTATTAGTGGGAACCTACAGGAAATTATACTGGGATGTGTGTGTGTTAAGGTGACTACATGCATGCACTTGCATGATGCCTCATGCCTGTCTATGTGTCTCTCTGTTGGCCCCTCAGGGCCACTTAATTAACAGGCATGCTGCCCCAATTGAGGTCAAGGTCGCGGCTGTTATTAGTGCCAGACAAGAGCATCGTTCTGTCTTCTGATGGGGGCAACAATCGAGTACAAACGCTACTATCTCTGTTAGATGCCCCTAGATGAGTGGTTTTCTCTGTATTTAACCCCTTACTGAGCATGTTGTCCCATTTCTAGCTTTATTGCCAGCTTAATGCTTTTAAAATTTTGAATAGATGGGTTAGTGTAGTCCTATTGTATGTCCACCAACAGGTCTTTAAAGGTGCTGGGCATTGTGGGGCGCAAGCTTTAGGGGTTTGCTGATGTCCTGCTTTAATATCAATTCAAAGTTTTATATTGACTATATATCAAATGTATCCTGCAAAACTTTCTTTTTTTTTTTGTAAAATTCTTTCACTTTACTTCTTTGCCTTTGATCCACTCTGTATTATTTTCACAGATGTAGTTGTATATTTGATTCAAATATGACCTTTAGGAATTTGAGAGGAAATTCTTTTTTTTTTTTTTTATTCTCATTTTGAAGAAGAAATTATCATATTATTAAAAAAAAAGTTTCTAGTACCTTTTTTTAGCCTCTTCAAAAAACAAGTTTAGGGAGAAGTTTTTACCTGGTTAGCAACTCAGCAAAAAAAATATTACACTCCTTTTTTTTTGTTTGTTTTTTTTTTATATATTTTTTTAGGTGTAAACATTTAACATGGCCAAACAAAAAAAACAAAAAAGAGATTAACATGTCCAAAGGGCACTCAAGTTGATATGGATTTAAGGTAACACATTAATTTCTGGACTTTTTCCTAGGATTTCTCCACAGAGAGCAACATTAAAGAGTCATTATGTAGGCATACTATATCTTTAAATCTCCTCTTTGTTTGACCTTTTACCTCTGTCAGTCGACTCATAGTATATAGTTTAATGAGCCGACTGACACCTCTGTCCTCAGAACTGATGGATCTTTAAGTTAGAATCCTATTTTCCTGAATTTACCAGAGCCAGAGCCTGTGCAGAACTGGTCCTGGCCCCTGTTATGGGCCCTGTACTCAATCATACACTGCAAAAAATGACCTACAAATATTGAGCAGCTAAGTTAGACAATTTGAAAATGGAATAAGATGATTTATGTTTGAAAATAAGAGAAAAACATAAATTTCAAGTGCAGAATATTTATCTTATTTTTAAGAGCAAAATACTAATTCCTTTAGCCAATCATCTCAACTACCTACAGAAATTAAGGGCAAATACACTTATTTTAAGATTTGTTCCATTTCTGTAGATCAGTTTTTGTAGCTAATTCTAAAAAAATTTATTATGATGAAATGAAATGACAGGGGAGACCTAACAGATTTGTCCATTGGAGCAATATTTTAATTCCGCTTTTACACTACACTTCAAATGTTATTTTGAAATTTCAGTAAGCTTTAAGCTTCAGTTGTTGGCCTATTACAATAGGATCACAGTTTTCATTCAATTCAGTTTATTTCTATTGCTCAAATTCACAACACATGTCATCTCAAGGCATTTTACAGTTCACCAGATCATCCAGTCAAATTGATTCAAAGTTTTCTATCTAAGGAAAACCGGTTGATTGCATCGACTCATTGATTGGAATGCAATCCCTCACACTAAGCAAGCTGGTAGGGACAGTGGAGAGGAAAAACTCCCTTTTAACAGGAAGAAACCTCCAGCAGAACCAGGGGCCATCTGTTAGATGTCTATCTTATATAAGTGATCTGCTCTTGCTCTGATTGTTTTTTTTAGTTTAGTGCCTCCATGAAGAAAAAGAAAAAAAAAACACTGGTTGTTATTTCACCTAAAACCACCACTTGGGCAAATATTTCTTGATGAAATGTCGCTTCTTCAGCGCGCTAGCTCTGCGCGCGGCTGTAGACAGACCGCGCGCGCGCTCTCTCTCTCTTGCAGCTCTCTTTCTCTTGCAGCTCCAAACTCCAGCTGTTTCTTTACCTACTGGGAGTCGGAGCGATGTTCCCACCCCGAAAAAAAAAATACACAGGACGATAAACAGGGAGGGACGCTGAAGGACGAGGAGAGGAGAGGAGAGAAGGACAAGTGATGAGAAGAGGAGAGGAGAGCCGCTGTCGCAGAGGAACAGGAGGAGAGAGGGAAACAGACGCATCTGCGGCTCGTTCAAAATTCTTAAGATGCCAGCATTTTCTCACCGACTAAGAGGAATAAATCCCGGTGCATCATGACGGATTGCGTCTTGTTCAATTCTTTGCACTTTGGTTGTTTTTTGTAGACGCACATTTGGGGAAACGCTTAAAAAACTAATATTATTTTGCTTTAAAGAAATCCATCGGACAGTTTGCAGCACCTCTGGGAGCAAAGTGGATTCATTAAAGGAGGAAAGGAGCGCTGATCTCCTTCTCCTTCATTATATAAATGTTTGCGTGCCATTAGTGCGCTTCTCTTTCACGCACACGCGGCCAGACGTGGACATTGATCTGTCACACATGTGGTCCTAATAACAAGGACGGGCCTCACCCCCCACCCCTTTCCCTCTCCCCCCAATCCTCACCCCACTGTCTGATGACTCCCCCTTGCACAGGTGGACGTGGTACGGAGCCGACTGTAGCATCATCTTCCTCAGCATCATCCTCCTCCTCAGCACCAGCATGTCCTCGTCGTCGCGCAAGATTTCCTCCGAGTCATTTAGCAGCTCGGTGGGCTCAGACTGTGGGCTGGAGAGCCCCGGAGGAGACGGAGGGGACGGCGCTTTGGAGCCGGCTGATGAGAGCCGGGGCTGCCCGTTCTCCTCCTTCCCTTCGGCCCACAGAGCGGTGCTGTGGAACGGCCGCAGCCCCGCTGAGAGGCCGGCGTGCCCGGCGAGAGAGGAGCAGCAGCAGGGACCCTGCGGGCCCCACAAGAGGGCCACCAGGCGGCGAAGGGTCAACCTGGACTCGTTGGGGGAAAGCCTGAAAAGACTCACTTCACCCACGGTAATCTTACAGTTTAGATGTAACCTAGATTAAGATTATTTTGCTTCTGAATTACATTTTTAAGTTTCATTTTGCGTTTTTCTGAAGATACATTGGTCAAATATTATTCTCAGGTTATTTTTAGATACATTTCACCAAGTAAAGGTGTTTTCTAAAGTGTAAGAAAATATCCTTTTGCAATATTCCAATTGTTTGAAAATAGATAATGGCAAAAGAAAGGAGCATGGAGAAACTTCATATAGTCCTTTTCTAAAGCATCCATCCATCCATCCATCCATCCATCCATCCATCCATCCATCCATCCAGTGTTTCGGAGACCAGATAAACTGCAGACTTTTGACCCATCAAACACCCTCTTTTCATCAATGACATTATGTGTGCTGCGCTGTCTATGAAAAAGCAAACTCTTATTTTTTTTTCCTTTTGCTCTGCTAGCCTGAATCATCTGGCTGATTATATAATAGTAGATTTGTTGTTGTGACGCAGAGTCAGAGATGCCCTGGCCTCTGTCTGTATATATTTAACAGTGCAGATTGTGACAGATAAACCTGTGTCTGTTGGTGCCTCTTCTATCCAGACCTCACTTGTATTATAGGCTGTAATGCAATTAAAGCTTCTCTTACCACTGTGTGCTATTGTGACAGATGATGTGTTATTAGGATGTTTACTGTTATCCTTTGTGGATGTCCCAGAGGTGGGAAAATGCCATTTTCTTATCTTTTACTTGTACCTAATAATCTTTGAATCATTGCTTTTTAAAATGATCCTTTCATAAAGAGGATTTTAAAACACCACTGTAGGCTGTTTTATAACTTTGGGCCGTATTCCAAAATGGGCTCATAGACAAAGGATCGCGTTACACTCCATAACTATTGTCACAATATGAGCATTACAGTGAAATCCTCTTATTAACCGTCTGTGAGGGTCACAGGGTGACTCCGAGGATGGGCAGGGATTTTTATGTACATTTGAAAAAAATAGTTATCACTGAGTATAACTATATATGTTGTTTTCAATGCATTTAAACATAACATGTTTAGTTTATAGTATCTAGGCTTTTTTAATGAATCTTTTTACTGACGCAATTTCGTCTTAACTCACAAATCTGAAAGAATAATACAACCTTCTGCATCTACTTAAGCATACTTAGTTACTTTAACACAATTGTTCCATGTCCTACGCTGCTAACATGAAACAATTGTGTTAAAGTAACTAAATATGCTTACATAGTTGCAAAAAAGGATGCATTGCTTTTTCCAATGGCATTTAGTGGCAGCTCTGCTGTGACCTGGCAAGGTTTGTTTTTTACATCCTCGACTGCTTAGCAGGCATGCATGCTTATCAGCAAGTTGGTCTGGCTTAGAGTTTTTTCTTGTTTACACTGTCTTTCTGTCAGACTTTCATCTAACTTATTTTTTTTGCTAGCTGAATAACAACTATAAAAACAAACAAACAATAAAAAACTGAGAAATAGTTTGATTCATTAAAGGCAAAGTAAAAGATAGTTAACCAAAATCTGGTAGTCGACGGGATGGATAAGGCATGGTATCTAAGCTAAAGAAAAGTGTCGTTTGGATATTTTTGCTACCTCAGAAAACCTAAAAATCTATTCAGATTGTGTTATATCTGCATTATCATTTATCCATTTATTAGACTCAGAGAGCCTTAGAAAAACTTTATTGTCAGTTTGTACACACAGTGTATTCAAAATGAAATTTCGCTTTGTACAGCTCTCATGACATTTCAATTTCTTAAAGTGCTGCAGTGATCAAATGTAAACATTTTGGAAGAGAAAAACAGGGTGCAAAAAAAAAAAAAACGCATTGATATGGTCAGTTTGATGCACTGAGTCTGTGACATGATTCAGAGTTTTTTCAACATTCAGCTGTCTAATGGCGGTGGAGAAGTAGATGTTGTGGAATCTGCTGGACCTGCATTGATGCTGCAAAATTTCTTCCCAGGGGGCAGCAGGGAGAACAGTCCATGTTGGGGGTATGAGGGGTAGGGTTGGGAATTGAAAAGATTTTCACGATTCCGATTCCCTTTTCGATTCTATGAAACGATTCGATTCTTTATCGATTCTTTTTTCGATTCCANTTGTCAGTTTGTACACACAGTGTATTCAAAATGAAATTTCGCTTTGTACAGCTCTCATGACATTTCAATTTCTTAAAGTGGTGCAGTGATCAAATGTAAACATTTTGGAAGAGTAAAACAGGGTGCAAAAAAAAAAAAAAAACGCATTGATATGGTCAGTTTGATGCACTGAGTCTGTGACATGATTTAGAGTTTTTTTCAACATTCAGCTGTCTGATGGCGGTGGGGAAGTAGATGTTTTAGAATCTGCTGGACCTGCATTGATGATGCAGAGCTTCTTCCCAGAGGGCAGCAGGGAGAACAGTCAATGTTAGGGTGTGAGGGGGTCATTTATAATCTTACGGGCTCGAGACTCGCAGCACTGGGTTGAAATGTCTTTTATGGAGGCAAGAGGAGTCCCAATGATCTTCTGTGCAGTTCTCACCACTCTCCTCACCTTCTTCCAGTCTGAGGCGCTGCAGCTTCCACACCGCACAGTGAGACAGCTGCTCAGAACGCTCTCTATGGTGCTTCTGTAGAAGGTGGTGAGGATGGGTGGGGGCAGGTGGGCTCTCCTCCTCCTCCGCAGGAAGTACATGCGCTTTTGTGCCTTTTTGACCAGAGAGGTGGTGTTTACAGTCCAGGTGAGGGTGTCTGTGATGTGCACCCCCAGGAGTGTGGTGCTGCTGACCACCTCTACAGCTGAGTTGTTAATGAGCAGTGGAGCGTGGTTAGGCAGATTTTTCCTGAAGTTGACGATGATTCAGGATCAGGTTGTCATCTCTGTACCAGCCCTCCAGCTGCTCCACCTGCTCTCTGTAGTCCTGGTCGTTGTCGTCTCTGATGACGCCCACCACTGTGGTGTCGTCTGCGAACTTCACAATGTGTTTGGTGGTGTCAATCACCACCAATCCCTTGCACACCTTTTTAACTAGCATCCTTTTTCAGCACTGGTCAGTGCCCGCTGTTTTTTTTAATACATTTAGCTTAGCTGCCTAGCATCTGTGATTGTTTTAAGCATGTTCCACTTTGAGACTAAAAGGAGCATTTTATAATACATTATTATATCAAAAGTGGTATCAAGTGTTGAATACTTTCCTTTGTATCAATATTGGAGTTTGAAATTTTGGTATGGTGACACCTCAGCCAAATGTGCAGTAATGTTCAAGGCCCCTACTTGGGTAATGTTATGAGTTGCTGTTCAGGACCAAAATACAGATTAAAGCAGCATGGTAAATAGATGATAATTTAAATAAATGAATGAATGAATAAATAAATCTGACTGGCATGGAGATGCGTAATACAACAGAGGATTCTGTGAAGACTAAAAATGACAATACTCTGGCTCTGGAAGATGGCAGTAGCTGAGAAGAGGTTGTTACTGGTTTGCAATGCTCGTTATCTGGGTCTCTTGGGACAATTATAATAAATCCCACTGCTCTTCCACTGCCTACCACCATAATGTGATCAACTAGGGCGCAACTTCATTTTCAGAGCAGAGTACTGACTTTAGACACAAATTAAATGGAGAACTAATTTCAGACTTGAGCTTGACTTAGTGTTGTTAATAGTGTCCATTTAATGTGAAGCTGTGTTTCTGTGGATTTTGAATCCTCCCCATGTGGATGCGCTAGTTTCCTCTTGCAGATAAAGGAAGAGGGCAGGATGCCACAGAGGAGTACTGTTTGCTCTTTATCAACAGGCATCTTCTTGTATGACTCTTGCTTAAGATAGGGGGACTTAGCAAAGAACTGCATACAGCATGCAAATTTGTGCATCAAAATATTTTTATATGAAATAAACTCAGAAAAGTACTTAGTATTAGTCTACTCATACAGCACTTATGAGGACCTGAGGTCTGATTCAGGATTAAGACATCTTTTAGACACATCTTAAATCAGCTGTTGGGGTTTGGTGTGTTCAATCTGATAATTCCAACCGCATTTTTGGCTCCAGAAGAGCAATTTACAATCTGAAGGTTCTACATCAGAAGTCAGACCTCACTACTAACTTTTTCTTCATCCATCTCGGCTTCCACTCTCTAAGAACAGGTTACACTAGAGCAGAGGTCACAGATTAGTGGACCAGTTACATTTATAAGCAATTGCATGTTGTCTGACGACAGTGTCTAAACGTCACCTGCGCCGCTTCTCCTGTTATTATGCTAAAGCCCTCCGGAGTGTCCGGCACCAGGCTGCACGTGATACAAAATAGCCAATGAGCTGCTGTCAGTTTGGTTTGCTGAGAGCCACTTTTGGCCACAGCAGGCAAACCTGTGGCAAGCCGGGCGATGGGAAAGAAGGAGAAGACGAAAAGAAAAAGAAAGCAGAGAAAGTGTGGACTGCTGGAAGAAGCGTGGTGAACTGGTGAAAAAAAAGTGAAATGGCATGCTTAAAGATGAATCTGCATATTTTGAGTATGTTTGGCTCAACCTATATAATCAAAAATAAATATCGATCCAGGCTCAAAATGAGCACCTTCATATGTGCTTGAGAATGGCTTTGTTGCCATTAAAACCCAGGTTTAAAGCCTTACTGGGCAGCCTAAAGCCCACTTATCTTATTAAACCATTAAAAAAAGGTCAGTTTAAGTGTTTTATAAAAACAGAGTGAGTCAGCAAATTGTCTATATACCAAACTGAAAGATTGTTGTACTCTACTTCAAAAACTATTTAGATTTTAAAATGGAAAAACTTTCTATTTTTTATATTTTGTATTTAAAAATTCAATGTATAACATGGATGAATAAACACCAGCATTTTATTGCAGTGTTAAATGCTGTTTAAAGTAACAGATCATTATTAAAAATGTCTCTGGACCACCAGTTGTTGATTTTCCTTATTTGGACCCTGCTGATTTTTAATTGGTTACCCTGGCACTAGAGACCAGATGTCCTAAAATTGTCAATTTATCACTTCTGCTGTC